ACACACCCCGTGTGTCTTGGTGCATTCTGAGGATCTTCACACCAGCTCCTCTCACCGCTTTCCTTCTTTTTCCAAACCAGTTGTCCTGTTTCCCTGTGTTCCCCGCTTCCGGGTCACAGAACCACACGACATAAGCACACGAGGACAAAGGGCTCTACACCATGGCAGGGAGGCTTCCTGAACAGAATTCTACTTTTTTAAAGTTCAGTTACTTCCCAATTCAACCCTGCCACCCAGTTTGCACTGTTTGATTTCTTTTGTGGATTTGCACTTTAAAGCAAATAAAGTCTGGTTTTGTTTACTTAAAAGAAAGCTTTATTTTCTTCCATCGTCCAGGCAGCTGTTGTTTGTAAAATTTATAACAGATCCCTCATTCACAAGGACAGAGGAGGGGAGCCAGAAAGACACTATTAAGAACAATCCCTAATCACCATCACTTATGGCGCAAATAAAGATGGATCAGATCGTAAGGGTTCTTTGATGGCTTCTCCTTGAATTGATGATGCATCCCAATTCCATTTTCCTTCAGTAGCGTACATAACCCAGGAGTGCTCCAAACTGTGGAGGCTTGCAGCCCTGGAGGGGCTTATTAAGGACTCAGACAAGATCATAATACAGAACATCAGAGAAGGCACTGGTATCTTAAACATCTGTGCCACAATAGTTATTGCATAGATTTGTTTCTCACTATTTCCTCCCTGAATATCCTCATCTTTTCACATAGGCAACTGACTCTAACATGCAGAACAGTGGTTCTCAACCACTTTAGACTCCAGGCAGCTCTTAGTTTCCACTTATTTTTTGACTGTGGAAAAATGAGAGTAATTCTTCTGTGTTAAAGAATTCAGAAAGACTACAACAGGTCTGAAAGTTTTTGACACTATGGATTCCTGACTGAAATCTGAGTTTATCTTATGAATTACGTGTAAGGTTCTGCACACTTACAGCAAATATTACACAGCAACTCCCTGTCCACTTAAAAGGGTGTCATGGCAGCCCAGGGTGCGGCGACATGCTGGTTGAGAACCCTTGCTGTAGGGCAGAGATGTAACCTAGTCTCTCAAATGGATGCATAGGCCCTTTCTTGCACCATGAGTCTATATGTGGCCATTACTTGTGATCACGTCTTTTTAACCTTCCTTCAGGTCCTTTTCCTCCACCCGTTTCCTCTCCATTTTTCTGGGTTTTTATCCTCTCTCAACATCACGAGAAAAATGAATGAGCAGCAAACTGGAAGAAAGTGATGTGAATTCCCCCCCTTCCTTTTTCCTCTTATGTTTGTAGCTTCCCTGTTCTGCTTCAACTGCTGCCTACTCAGAGAGATCCAAACTGGAGTAACAAAGTTTCTGGCCTGCATGTTGCTGTACAAGCAAGAGATATACTGTTTACATCAACACAAGAGGAAAAAAATAAATAAATAAACGTTATTGCCCCACTAGCTCCCATGCTAAAATTCTAATGTGGGCAAACATGTATTCTAGTTATCATATATATTAAAAAATTGAGGTAAGCACAAGCAGGAGCTTAACATTTAACATGACCCAGTCCAGCCAACAGGGGTATAAAAATTCCTACTTTTTTCCAATAAAGATAAGACCACTGTGGGAGGCCAAAGAGCATGAGAAGAGAGAGAGAGGAAAAAAAAACAACAAAAAAACAAACCCTGGCAGCTCCCTTCTCCCCAGCTGCAAGCACAACCCTACAGTCTTCTATAGCATGTGGGGGGAGCTTGGAAATATGTTTTTCCACCTGCAGCTGGAATCTCTTGTACTGGAGGTGGCCAAACTGTGGCTCATGAGCTGCATACAGCTCTTAGACTTCTAAAGTCAGCCACTTAGCAACAGATTTATCCGAGTTGGGGTGCCGTACAGAGTTGTGTCCCTATATCTCAACAAACCAACAAAATCAGGTAACAGGCTCCCCAAACAAATCCTATTTTGGCAACCCCAAGACTAAAGGAAAGGAGGTTCATCCAGAGGGATCCTTTGTACCATGTTAAGGACCAAAGCAACAACCTCGGAAGTTATCAATAGGAGCAGATTGAAGGACTTGTCCAGCACAAAAGTGCTTGGTATCAACTGACCTCTGCCTTAAGCAGCTGACGCAAGTGGATTGGGTTGGACTAACCAAGTCAAATATAGTAGAACCACCACCAAACCTGCCAAAATGCAAGTGCTTTCTGCAGTCAAAGGCTCAAGTACTAAAGATTCAGGTCACTTCATCCTGAAATACATGAGTAAATACTGTTCACCATCTTCTTGTGAATGAAGTTTTTGATTCCATTTGTTTTGCATTAGTGTCCCACAAAACAATTCACAACAGGGCATCCGAGTAAGGAAGCTACTAGAAGTTAGCAAGTCAAAGTAAATCAGTTGGGACTCTCAGCAAAACATCTACCTGACCAAGGAGTTCCATCTTTGCACATGCACTGCACTGAACATTTAGGAAGTCAGCAAGCCCACATAACAAATGTAACCTCCCTTTGCATAAACACTTGTGTCACTGATCTTGGTTCAGATTACTACTGAGCATTAAACAAAGATTATGGTAATTATCTGATGAATTTACAAGCAACCAATTAAGGTCTTTTAAATGCAACGTGTTATGTAATGTATGCAGTCTCTAAAGCAAAACAGTTTACATTCTTCTGTCTCAATATGGGCATTTACAGGTACACACCTTAATGTAGAGTCCATATACAATATTTTTCAGATACTAATTAAAAAATTAAAACCTTGTATTTGTGTCGTTTTCTAAAATTAAGACGAAACTAGGTAACGTTTAACTTTGCTAGAGCCTACCTGGACCAGCTTTTAAGTATACCAATGAGTTTCAAAAACCAGTTTCAAAAATTACTTTTATTTTTATATCTATGATCAAGACCAGAACTGTTAACAAGGTAAATATGGCAGTGATACAAAAACATATGGCAATATTTAGAGGCTTACCTGTACAAAATAACTTAAATTTTACAAAAGTCTTATGCTATCTCTGCTGACTGACACAGTCTATGTAATCTCCTTGGAGAACCATATAAGGTATCTGAGTTTACTTCCTTTTTAGTGGGTCAAAAAAAGGATGTTGCAAGGCTTCATCAAGAGTAATTCTATCAGATGGATCGTACTCCAACATTTTGCGAACAAGATCAAACAGAGTCTGATGATCTGCATCCTGACAGTGCATGAATTCCTGAAAAAACACACACAAAACAAGAACATGCACACATTTAGACAGGTCCATCACAAATAGGAATCTCTCCAAGAAGGAAGCTGATGTTGTTGCTCACCTTTAATGGCTTACAGCGCCTCCTTACATATCGGCCTGCAGAACTATGTTCATCCCAGTCCAACTGGTCATGATGAAAATAATGTTTGCTGCATTAAAAAAAAATATATTTTTAATGATATGCACTGCATATCCTTCTACATGTAGATTCCAAACTGATGTTGAGTTAACACTTGTACATGAAGCTATATTTATATTATCTGCTAAGTCAGAAACTCTTTTTAAAGAATGGTTTAAACTTAAATCAGACTGTTCCAAGACAAAAAAAGAGCAGTCAGGTTTATAAAAACTCATTAGCTTTCTGTCACAACTTTTGTTTCCCCCAATTTTTTAATTTTACAAAAATCGTTGAAGTTAAAAATAGCCCATTGTCTGTTCTTTTAGTTTCAGAACTGAGAATAAGCTCCACGCGCTTGTCCAGCACTCCATCCATTCGTCCCGGAGACAGCAGTAAATGCAGACTTCACTAATTCCACCCCAAGTCTTGCCGTGTATGGGCCTATAAAGATCCAGAACTTGCAATGCACTGGTCCTCTACACCTCATGGATACTCCCCTCAAATTCTGCAACCACAATACAACAGAACAACCCCAGTTCCAAATGTCCTTCACAGGCACAAAGGATTTGCCCCTTCCAGAAGTATGAAAGGATTCCTCTGATCTCAAAGAAACTTAAAACCATTAAAACAAATGCATGCTCATCTTTGGCTTTTGTTTTCAACACTACTAAGTATCAAAACATGGGAGGGGATGGGGGCGGGGAGGGGAAGTATTGCCATTGCCCTCCTTTTCTTGCTACCAATTCTTTGCATGTGCTTTGAACATTACTGACAAATTGAATTAATCTTTTGTTCAGTGATTTAATAAAGAACCGGTCAGGGACTGGTCAGAATTATGACAATTATTTGTGTAATTCAGATGTTAAAAAACTGGGCTTTAATGCTCTGGAATTTTTAACAGAAATACTCTTTAAAAAGAGACATCTCTCTGATTAAGAACAAATAAGACAAAAAGAGAGGCCTGAAATTAAAGAAAACAAAGTATTCCTTCCAGATGCTGGGTCAGCATAGATGAAGCAAAAAACCCCATGGAAAGTGACTAATTTGGGGTATAAAATGTTATACTGGCCAAGATTATTTGATTTAATGTAAAATGTGTGTAGGACACCACAATTTTGCTTACTTTTTTTTTTTTTTTTTTTTTTTTTT